GAAAATTTATCAAAGTCATTCTGAAAAACAATTACACACAGAAGAAAACAGTAACTCAACATCCAGAAGTCACACAACAAGAAGGCCTCAAATTTTCCTATCAACTGCTCAGCACTTCTGCTCTCCTGAGATTATTTTCTGAAACACAGTCATACATTTACAACTGTATTTATCCCACCCAGTTACTTCAAGTCCATGTTTACCCAGGTCAAAGACATGCATCTTCTTTATGGCTAAGTGATACCACCTAACACAGTCACATGGCGAGTTACCTGAATGATACCGTCTTCAATACTTCGGATAGAACATTTTAAAACACTGCTCATTTTAGTCTATGGTTCCATATTTAACTACTAACCCGCATAAAATTACAAAAGCAACAGAGGAAAAGTAACTCAGTCAGAAAAAGGTTAATTCACAGGTTCCTACCTTGTTGGAAGGCTTCATCGCTACTGAAATGACAGGATCAGGGATGTGAATTGATTCCTGCAATGGCCATAAAGAGATCATACAGTCAAGTTCCACTACCCTGGTGACATTAGTTATCCAGAAAAGTTCGGTCACAAGAACTCTGGGTTACAAACACGGATGACTGTTTTGCTTATCTAGCTTGTACCTAATATCATAGTGTAACAAAGTTGTGTAACTCTCCTGAGGATTACCACAAAGCTGTATTGCCAACACCGTTTCCTAGATGAAGGATGGTATCTGGATTTCACAATAGTTAGAAGACTCTGCTTCCTATCAGATTTTGTAAAAAATAAATAAATGAATAAATAAAAATAAAGCTGATGTATTTAAATACATATACAAATACATAGCTTAATACTTTTGGGTAACAGCATCCACTTCTAACAGTTTGCTAACACTGAAGTAATGTATTTGATGTCAAGTGTAGTAAACAGGTGTGTATCTCTCTTGCACATACCATACTTCTATATATTTGGGCTCTTTGAGGTATAACAAATAATCACCAAAAATATTTGTGGTTGCATATACATCAAAAATACTTAAACAGAACAAATAATTACAAACTTTTACAAAAAAATCCCAGTGAATTCTAATGCTTGAGGCACACAGATGAAAAGGTGTACTCACCATGGAAATGTCGGTACTAGTTTTATCAGTGAACGTATCCCCACTAGCACAATCAATTCCAAACAGTGCACATATGTCTCCTGCATAAACTTCATTTACATCCTTAAGAAAGAAAAGTTTACTATTTAGATAACGCTGAAAGGTATATTACAAACCACACGTGGTTTTAAGACAATACATTAAAAACTGCATTTAAAATCTGGAAGTTAAACTCTTTTGAAAATTCCAGCTTTGATAGAATGCTCTGTAAATCTTCTATCTCTTTATTCAGAGCACAAGGAGGAGACATCAGCCTGGATGCTAACTTATTCTAGTTTGAGGATGTGAAGCAAGCAACAGATTATGTTTCAAGCAATCCTGACCCAGCTACAGAGTTCAGGAATCTTAAACAGGAAAGGGTAGTATTTGCAGCAGTTTGAGAATCAATTTTTAGTTTAAGAACTGTATTCAATAATCACACGGAAGAAAACATTTTTGTGTATTTTGCTAATCCTGCTTTCCCTCTCCCAGAATTATGGACTATGGGGATGATACCAGAGCTGGCTTGCTTTAGATATCACCTCAGAGCCATTTTATAATGGTTCCTGGGCAAAGAGTCTTCCACTTCAGCGGAAACAATACACTAGAGATCATTCCAGTTTCTTGTAGAGCTCCATTAAGTACTACAGGGAAGTATAAATTAACAACAAAAGCAGAACTTTGACATATCACATCATTCAGAGAGAGCTGAAAAGCGAGAAGCCTGTTTAGTAAGAGTGGCTCCGAAGGCAATCCATGTGGATTGTACCTCTCACACTCACCTCCATGTTGTCTGAATGCATACGGACAAGTCTTTGTACACGCACTCTCTTCCCTGTCCTAGTGTTATAGATGTAATCCGATTTCTTCAGCATCCCCTGATAAACTCGAATATAGGTTAACTGCCCAAAACGGCCAGCCTGGAATCAAAATTCATTAAAAATCAGATATGGTCATTCTGGGAGTCAAGACCACTACTATTCAAAGCATCATCTGTACTGACTCACACAACGTTTCTGTTTTGAATTTACACACTAGACAGGTACATAAAACTTTTTGTAAGGTAGTCTCAGCTTTCACTTGGCGCTGGAATGGAACTTGGCGTCTCCTGGCGATTTTCTTTACTTCACCAATTTTACCACACCTAAGCCTTCCCAACAGAGGCACAGATTAACTAGCAATTTGGCCAGCCACTTTCCAGATGAAATCTGAGCTGCTACTCTCTAAGTAGCAAACAACTTGTTTGGTTAAAACCGTGTACTTTTTCCTTTCTTGTGTTCTGTTGTTTTCAATTTCAAACAAAACCAGGATTTTTCTCTGAAAGGACTTGAAATAAGCCCAGAAAACCCCCAAATGTTCAGGTTTTAATGAAGAAAATCACGAAGTATTTGAGCTACATAACCCACAACCCTCCAAATCTGGCAATGTTTGATACCTTTGTGGATTTTATGGTTGAAACAATTTTTTAAAAAGAAGTTTAATTTAATTTAAACAAACTGATTTTAAAATTTGTTCCATGTAAATTTTGGTAGTACCATCTGTTTGGACTCACTGTTTTCCACTCAAATCACAAATAATGAATCCAGATATCGTCTTTCCTCCTGCAGGGTTAACACAATGCAAGCACAACTTTTGCGGAGCAGAGCTCAGATATTGGTAGCATGGGAAACTTGCAAGCAACTGAATAAAGTCAGCTAGGTCATATTCTGAGCATCCCTTCTCTAGAAACTTTTAGTTTAGCTTTACCATATACACAGTGACCAAGTAAAAAAGTCATCACATGCACAAATCGATAGACTGAAAACACAAAGCTTTAAATGTTTGCTTTCCCAAGAAACAAAAGGCATTTGCCAGGCATCAATGCCGAGCCACTGGTAGCTCAGTGCAAGCAGGACTTGTGTACACCAACAACTCTTGCAGGGAATGCCCTGCTTCTCTAACGGTTTTGCTGCATTAGAAAGGAAAATGTTAACAGCTTACCTCCAGTTTAAAAGCAAGGCCTATAAATGGCTGGGAATCATCTCGAGCAGAGTTCAATAGGAACTTGCTTTTGTCCTCAGAATCCCTTAAAAACAGGAAGGGAGTTTATGTTATGAATCAAACATGAGCCCAACCCTAGAAAGTCCCCAGGGCCTTCAGGTTCACAGGTCTGTACTAGAGACTTAAAGATGCTCACATACATAGCTCCCATATACTCAGAAAGTGTCTCAGAAACTGCAGCAGATCCCCAAAAGGAGGTCAAAACTATGACAAATACCACTAGTCCTTCATAACATCCAACTATTTTGCTATGAAAGCAATTAATCAGACACTCAGACCCAACTCATGAGCAAGTCCAGTTTTAGAGTGAAAGAAGAGACATTGCAGTAACTCTTCCGATGATGCTCATGAGCAGCGTGAGAAGTTTTAGCCTATCCTAG